AAAAAAAACAAAAAGCATTTTCTGTAGGACATATAGAAATAACGTTTCAAGTCTTGGTCATCGGGCTTTTGCCTCTAAGAGGTGGCCCCTGGTTGAGATCAGTGGCTTTCCCAGGCAGTTGTTAGTACTACTGAACACCACTAGTTAGGGAGCAACTTTTCTCCTTGTATGTGGTCAGAGTTACCAGATCACACAGGGAATACCAAAGGCCCTAGAGGCAAGTCCTATCTGTGTGGGAAGTCTGTCTAAGATGAAACTTGGCTTCTCCTGAACTACTCTGTGTGATGGCAGAGTTTGTATCAGAAGCACATGTTGTCCAGCTTTCTGTTTAGGCAGATACATTCTCATAGGTAGTTATTCACAGCAGGAAAGGTGTGTTCTCAAGCTGGAGGTATTCCGATTCTTCCAATCTGTGTGTGTGTGTGTGTGTATGTGTGTAATGCCTACATTTTTTAGGGCACTTAAAAAAATTGTAGTTCTTAAAAAAAAATAGTAGTTCTCTATTGAAGAGCACTAGATTTCTCTATTAAAAAGGAGGACTAGTGGTTCTCTATTGAAAAGTCCTTGCTATCAGCTTTATGTGTTAATCCTCCTCTCTATATTCCTAGCAGCCAGTATAATGTTTGACACATACCAGGTGCTTCTTAAGTGTTTATTGAATAAATGAGTTTGAAGGACTAGGGCCAAACGTGTTAGTAGCAATGTTTAGACCATATTATTAATGATAGGTGGGAAGACCTCAGACCTATCTCTCCTCTCCACCCTCCTGTCCCTTCTCTCCCACATTTCAGATGATGCTGAAAATGCCAGTTTAGACTCCTTTCTTTAAGTTTAAGTCTTTTAATATCAGTTCAAAATATACGTAGCTTTAGAATGATAACCCTTTATGTTATCAGCCATGTGCAGCAAAGTAACCCCAAAGTAAGGATATGAAGGCAAGCTTTAATGGAGGGGAGAGGGACAGAGGGAGGCAGCATAAATTCTTAGCATGACCTGGGGAGGAGTGTCAAGAAAGATGGAAGGTAGTATATGGAGGACAGATGTTAATCCCTTCACAACCTTGCCTAAAACTGGCCATAAGAAATTAGGACCATTTTTGCTCGTGAGCCACCAATGAGAATTTTCTGTCAAAGCCAATAGCAAAGAAGTTGCCCTTACAAGGAAGAAAAGCATTTTCAGTACCTTCACCACTGTCTGAGGACTTGTGTGTAGAGGTGACACCACCCGACCACCCCTTCAGTGGTGAGTTTGGCCAGCTCAAGGGAGAAAAATCCAAAAAGGAGCTAAGATCACTCATTAGGAAAAAAGCCAGCCTCCTGTTGCTAATAAGAAAGTTTTCTAAGCATTATAATTATTCAGGTTATACATGAATGTTCTCATTTTTTTAAACTCAAGCACAGAACGTGTAATCAAAAAAGAAAGGTATAC